TTGTCTGTCTATCTAATCTTTACGCTCTAATACCTCTTTTTGTCATTGTCTATCTATCTACTCTTTACACTCTTATCCACCTGAGGCCACACTCGGTCGACCTTACTCTGTGTGTAAACAAGTGGGAAATTGTGATAGGGCGACAATGGGATAAGAGGATAAATAGTAGATAGATAGGCCAGGATAGAAAGAGGAGTGATTTTGTAACCCTTTTCCGCAGAGCGTCTGTCAAGAAATCAGCTTATCTTGTTTTTTCGACGCCTGGTGCGGAGAATAGCAAGGTTCACTGATGATGCCGATTACGTTGCCGGAGAAACCTTTGAGAATATACCAAGTCCACTTTCAGATGCTGGGAATCATGACAACTACTATGGCAGACAACTTCGAACTTGGTCTCGTTGTCAGGGTGACTATGTAGAACGAACCAAGTCCGAAGTCATCTGGCATAGTAGTTTTTATGGTTCACAGCATTAGACAGTGGACTTTGTGCATTCTCAAACGTTTCACCGGCATCGTAGTCGGCATCATCAGTCAGTTTTGCCATTTTCTGCACAAAGCTAAGAACTCGTCAAAGAGACACAAAACAGCAAAGATAAAATTGCAGGAAATAATTAAACTTCGGTACATTTTAAAGATATGAAGTCCCAAATGGTGTGGTCTTTTCGACGAGTTTGTAGCTTGGTGCGAAGAATAGCAAAACTGAATGATGATGTCGACTACGATGCCGGCGGAACCTCCAAGAATGTACCAAGTCCGCTGTCTAATTCTGTGAGTCATGACAACTGATATGGCAGACGACTTCGGACTAGGTGCGTTCTACATAGTCGCCGTGACAACAGGACAAAGTTGCGACAACGAGGTCAACCCACTTATATAAATCGAAAGAATACTGCGACCATACCAGAGGCCACAACATCTCGGTCTTCAAATTTTAAGAAATGTGACCTGTCAACGGTCTGGCTAGCCTTACAAGTCACATCAGCCCCGTAGTCCACTAGTCTCCATGACTATGTAGCGTAGTATTGGGTTGTTTCGCCACAATTTTCATCATCCGCTCTCGACTTCCGTCAGCGCTGTCGAAAAGCCCAAGCTGAGAGCGAATCTGCAATCAAGCCTGGACGAGAAAGCTTTTTGGATGCAAAGACAAAATGGAATTGGATCGTATTCACCCTATTTCGTTCAAAGTGGTTGGACTGTTTCCCACAATCACATGAATGTACATTATCTTTAATTCAATTTCACATGTACATTCTTTACCCAAAACCACACCCGAATGGACTGCAGTTCCGACCTCGCCTAGCACTTGTCAACACCCCTGGCAGGACTCGAACCATGACAGGGCAGATTTCCACGAGTGCTGTTGTGTCACAAAGAAGATGGGCATTTCAAGAAAGAGCAGCAATTTCGACGTGTTCCATTGCCGATGAAGCCAGCTTACACTTCTCAGCAATTCGCATCTGCCCCAAGAGCACGTGAGGCGATGCAGCGCAGTCGGCAGCAGGTTGAGTTCATTCGCTGCAGTCTCATGGTTCGAGTCTCGCCGGGGGTGTCTATTAGAACAGCTTTTCGGGTAGCAAGGCTATGATGTGAAATATAATGAAACTGTCATGTCTACTCATATTGTTGTGGGAAAACATTCAATTGCCAGTCCTGCTATCATCTTAAATGCAATAGAATGAATACACATCACATGTAAATGATGTACTGGTAGTCTTGAAAACCTTTTTATAAACGAAGCAAAATGAAATGGGTTTGGTTTTTCAGAAAAACTTGCTGGAATGAAGACTAAGATGGTGTGGATTTGGGCTCGAGTGCTTAGAGTTAGCCAATTGGAGAAGCAGAAGTTGGCCGATGTGGAGGATTGTGGGTGTAGGTGATTGGGTTTCGTGTAATCCACTTGATCTGGCACACTGTCCGGCGGCTGCGGGATAAAAGCGAGCATAGAGCCGAGTGTGGCTGGGCAGATTGGCTACGCCAAAGTTGGGCTGACCGAGGAGAAGTGAGTTGTAGGCGAAAGGACGAGATAAAGTGGGAAAGGGCACTGCGATTGGACTGAGGCTCGGTCCGAAGGACGTTGCGTTTCGACGACCAACCTGTACTGCGAGACCGAGTAAACGGTCTGAGAATCTGACGAGCTACATTTAAATGCTGCAAATGATCCCAACTGCTGTGGAAGAGGAAGCAGGAATAGATAAACGTTACCTCAAAAGATTTGCGAGAATTAGCTCATACTAAAGAGTGTGTGATTGTAAATTTAATATCCGATTACTTGTCTTAATTTATGGATTCTATCTCTGGTTAACTTTCAGTCTGAGTAATCCAAGACGGCTAGATCCATTCTACACCCAGCTTATCGTGTTTCCGGAAAAAGATATCATCTGGTTGTGCCTCTTTTCTCGGGCTTTCGACACTTAACGACCAATATCGGAATTCCATCCAATAATTTGAATAGAAAACCTACTCCCTACGAATCGAGTAGTATCGTCAATTTTAATGTAAAATGCCATTTTGCTCTACCATAATTAAAATCGTAAATTAAAAGAGACCTGGCTCCTCTTCAAAGTCATACCCCTCCCCCTTGTGTCTCTGTGAATTTTTGACCGTTACGGCGACGCGGTTCGACGATCTGCGTTCGAATAGCGAAAAGAAGAGGATCACACAAGCATATAAACTCATATGGCAGCAAAAAATGATATTTGCGCTGATCAAGTCTTGCAGGGTTTTAATTAATATCCTCACTTGATGCTGTTAACGTGACTTGACTTTGTTATGTGCAAGCGGGTGATGATGAGTTTTGTGGATTTGTCTCATCGAAAGATGAGGGAGCCTTCCTGAAGCCCGGGTTGATGCAATGCGGGGGCACATTCTTGTTCTGTTTTGTGGAAAAATGGCAGACTGTTGTCTACAATACCACTTGACAGACATCTGCAGAGTTGGATCTCGTTGCTGCAAACATTTCAGGCCAGCTCAAATCCAACAAGACTACATTTTTTGCAAAAAAGCTCATCGGCTTTCATAAATACAATACAAACATACACACATACATACACATACACATACACATACATACATACATACATGCATACATTCATTCATTCATTCATTCATTCACTCCTTCATTCATTCATTCATTAATTCATTCATTCATTCATTCATTTATTCATACATACATACATTCATTCATTCATTAATTCATTTATACATAAATACATACATGCATACATTCATTCATTCATTCATTCATTCATTCATTCATTCATTTATACATAAATACATACATACATACATACA